ATTCCATCCATTTATTACAAAAAAATGAGTTAGATACAGCATTTTTAAACACAATGCTTAAAATTGTTTAAGCGCCCTAAGAGGAACGGACATTTAAACCCAGAGTAGCAACGGGCATTTAAACGAGCACCAGCAGCGGCCATTTAAATAAACTCTGGCCAGCTCAAGCTTACCACTATATCGAAGTCCGGCATTTAAAGGTTAAAGTTCCAACTCTCGTATGTTGCTGTCTCATCAAAGTGCAGGACAAAATCAGGACAGAAAGATAGGTAACAGATGTTTTGAAAATGTGACACAGTTCAGATATTCAGGAATGATGATGATAAATCAAAACGTGATTCAGGAGGAAATTAAGAGGAGATCGAACTCAGGTAATGCTTGCTACCATTCAGTCCAGAACCTTTTTTCTTGCCTGCTGTCCAAAAATATAAAAATTGGAATATACAGAACTATAATTTTGCCTGTAGTTCTGTATGGGTGTGAAACTTGTTCTCTGACATTAAGGGAGGAACATAGACTGAGGGTTTTTGAGGACAGGGCATTGAGAATATCTGGACTGAAGAGAGATGAAGTGATAGAAGGTTGGAGGAAACTGCATAATAAGGAGCTTCATAACTCTTACTCTTCTCCAAGTATAAGTAGAATGATCAAGTCAAGGATGAGGTGGGCGGGGCATGTAGCACGAATGGGGGAGACAAATGCATATAGGATATTGGTGGGAAAGCCAGATGGAATGAGACCACTGGGAAAACCAAGGCATAGGTGGGTGAACAGTATTAAAATCGATCTTGGGTAGGATGGGATAGTATAGATTGGATTGATCTGGCTCAGGATAGGGACCAGTGGGAGGCTCTTGTGAACACGCTAATAAACCTTTGGGTTCCCTAAAATGCTGGGAAGTTCTTGAGTAGCTGCACAATTGGCAGCTTCTCAAGGAAAGCCCAGCTCCATGAGTGAATCTTTGATAAGAGGATTGCATTGAGACTTCACATGGAAATGATTGAATCCAAGGCTTTCAGAACATTTATTAGAATCTACTCTTTATTCAAAAGTGAGCATTTAAGCACAAACATTAAACTGACCCTCTATAAGGCACTGATTGTAATGACTTACACTTGTCCCACTTGGAAATTAGTGGCAGACACATACTTCTTAAAATTTCAGGGCATACAAAACAAGTTTTTTTTTTGCACCATTTGATTTTCCAAGGCGCACACAGGTCTGCAAATTGCACAGATCTTTCAGCCTTCTGTATGTATACGATTATATAACGGAATTGTGTAGGCAACAAGCAGAACTCACACAAAATCATGAGAATGAACATGTTCACAGTGTAGGACAAGGTGAAGCCAGACATAGAAAATATAAGAGGCTTAAACTTGGCAGTGGTCAAGCTTACGACCCTTCAGATGGCTAAGTTGCTGTTGTAGCATAAGATATGTAAGTTAGGCATGATCTGCTTTGTAAAGCCTTTACTGACAGAGGACTTGTGTGTAGTGCAAAAGGAAGAATTTTCAGTAACATGTTATATGTGCAAAATATACACTTGATGAAAAGCCAAGCATTTTCATAAGAGACAGACCCATCTTCTCATCAGAGAGGATGTTACATAAGGACTATTATGGCAAGCGTTCAGTTAAAAAGATCTCTGGTTGTGGGCCTCAAGGGTCCTGGCACCAGTACGAACTAATTGGCAGTAAACTGCCAGTCGTAAAGTAAATTTGACTTTGACTTTGACCCAGCAAGTTGTCACTCTCATGTTGAAGTGGGACAGAGTACCTACACCATAACCCTGCGAGGCGTAGGAGGCAATGGGAAGGGAAGTCTTGAATTTGGGACAGTAAAATGTGGTCACGAGTCCCAAGGTACTTGGACGTGAGATGACTGTACTGGTGAAGGCCAGCATAAATTATGAACAACAGACCCTTCCTCTCCTCAGAGAGAGAGTCCCAAATCAACAAACTCACAACTGCCTGACAGTAGTAAAAATCTGGTTGTAAGCCCCAGATGGGTGCTTTATTCCAAGACAGAGTGGCTGACTGACCATTGGTCGTAACATAAGACTCAGACTCGGTGAGTTGTCAGTTGGAAGTCAGCCTGTGAAGAGAAAAGTAGGAGGTTGGTGTGAAGTGGCTGTCATTGTTGAGAGCTGTTACCAAACAACGACTAGTGAAAGGAAACAGAAGGCTTAGCATATAGTGATCAGTCAGGTGTGGAAATCAGTGATAGCACTGTAAGTGCTAGTATAGTTAGTGTCTCATAACTTTAGCCGCGTGGAAAGGTAAATGCTGTTGTGGAGCATGCGAAGCTGTACACTTGCTTTGGTGATGTTCAGAGCTACTCCCCGAGTGGAAAACATTGCCTACGGAGACCAGGAGTGGATACACAACGTACTATACACCTGACCACACTTCAAGATGCTACATTCCAAACTGGTAGTACCCACACTGACATAAGCTGATAAGACTGCTCCCCCAGCTCTGTGAGAGATGGTATGACCCCTCTACCATGGCTAGAGTTCTGAGGAACTAACAGTAGTTCCGAATGATGTGTATAAATGGTCAGTAAATCCATTCACCATTCCAAACCCCGTCGAGAGTTATTCTAAATTGTGACTTGTCATATTGTGCTAGTGTGGAAGTAGGTATTAGTAAAAATCCCCAAAATTAATAAATACAAATAAATAAATAAAAAAATAACATTTCTTTATTTTATTCCATGACAACAGTAGGTAGTATGGATATACCATACATTGAATGTTTCGTTTGAAGTTTGAAGCTGTGTCTGTTAAGCTGTTGAGGAAGGTTGATTGACAGAGGTGTGGATGTTAGGACAAGATCTAGCATGCAAATTATAAAACTAAGCAAGGAAATCTTGGAAGGACTAGTGAGCTACTTTCTTTGATATGGCATGAACTGCATAGAAAACTATGCATCCAACAATTCTTCTGTTGTTTTCTTGTTTATTCATTGCCAGCAGTGATAGACACGGGTAAAGTAGGCTGACAACAGAGGAGCAGCTGGAGGCAATGTCTTCTTCTTGGTTTCACCTGAAGTTACATAAAGAGGGAGAAACACAGCAAGGAGAGTGGATGTGGTGTTGACTATCTCCACCATAGCCCTGCGAGTTGGGGGAGGTGACAAAAAGGGAACCCAGTACTGGAGGCTATAACTGGGCCACCGTGTTCCTGGGGGGGGGATATAGATATGGGGGCCTGACCCTCCAGGTTTGGGAAGCCTTGAATCCGAGGCAGTGAAATGTGGTCATGAGGCTGTTGGGGCTCGGACCTGAGAATGACCATGTTGACGAGGGCCAGCAGCAATTGTAAACAACACACCCATCCTCTCATCAGAGAGGATGTTACATAAGGACTATGACTGCAAGTGTTCAGTTGAAAGAAAATTACTTGTTGTATCAAGGAGCTTGTCAAGACGAACTGATTGGCGGTAAACCGCCATTCGTAAAGTATCTCTGACTCTTTGACAGCAAGCTGATATCATACGCCTCGTTTTATTCTTTCAGAATAAGAAACATAGACAAAAAAAGGGAAAATACACAGCATTCATTTTGTGCGCAGAATTACATCAATGAATGTAGATTTAAACTAAATTTTATGGCCTGTTATATGTCGTTAATCGCCGAGCAACGAAACAATGGAAATTCTTGAGACCGTTGCGTAGGAATATCCGTAGCAACGATATTCCCCGCTAGGCAGTGACGCAACGCAACAGTAGGGCGTCTGTTGCTAGGCAATGCATAGGTAGTCACACCTGACAACAATACCTGATGTATGTTCCCGAGCAGCAAAGTGTACTCTATGTGGTTCGTGCAGAGCCTATATAAAGAGCAAGATCACGTTTTTGTGGTCAGGGCGGAAGCTACATAACGAGAGTACTCGTCAGTGTTGAGGCAGTATTGAGTATTCAGTATGAGTATGTGTCCGTTGAAGTACGAGTTACGAGTTTAGAGTATTCAGTTGAAGTCTAGCAGTTAAAAGTTGCCGAGTTTTATCGAGTCAAGACAGTTGAAGGTTGGAAGTGGCTAGAGCAGAAGTAATTGGGACAATGAAATTGTGAATTATGTAAGTAAGTAAGTGTGGATAAAAGGCCGAGCCATAGCTCAAGCGGTTAGTCGCTGGCTTCCCACCGTGGCGGCCCGGGTTCGATCCCGGGTCTGGTCAAGTGGGATTTGTGGTGGACAAAGTGGCGCTGAGGCAGGTTTTTTCTGAGTACTTCGGTTTCCCCTGTCAATCTTCATTCCACCAGTTGCTCCACAATCACCCTCACCTATCATCTGGGGTTGGTACAATAGGCCAGAAGTGGCCGCAGTACAAGGGACTTAGTCCCACCCCCACTAGCAATAATAATAATAAGTGTGGATAAAAGTGTGCAATAAATAATCGCTAGATCCAAGACCGGCTTGAAGTTATTTGTCGTGTCGGTAGACAAACACGTTACACTGGTGTCAGAATTGGTTACCAACTACAACACACCATAATTTAGAACGAACTCTTGAAACGCGTGTTATACTGAAGATAGTATGAAGAGATTAGTGTGTGCGGTTTGTAAATTGTGTAAACCCCCCAACAGTGTTATAATCAATTGTATTTACGACTTGTAGGTTGTTAATAAAACCAATTAACAATCCGAACGGCGTCTTAAGTCGATAAAACACGTTACAGTATGCAATATGAAATTTGAAATTGAGAGATACTGAACTGTCGGTCTTAATTGATTGACAAACTGTTAGCATTTAAGGTATTGTCGCGTGTTGCCTATGTAACGCGACAAATAACTTCACGCAGGTCTCGGATCTGGCGAATATTTATTGGACTCTGGATACAATTATGATCACTTACAACGTATGCGGACGTTTCTTCTTCGATATCACAATTCTTGCACCGCTAATCCCGGTGTCGTCTTCGCAGCTGTACTGCACACCGCACACTTTTATCTATATCTGTTCTCGGCGATTGCCAGAACTCACCTAACTATATCTCGACGACAACTAATGCTAATAATCTCAAAGTCAAAGTCACATTGCGACTAACGGTCAGTCAGTCAGTAAGTCTTGGTGTCGAGCCCCATCTGGAGCTCATGACCAGATATTTATTACTGTTTGACAGTTACGGTCTTGTTTCTGTAGGGCGCCATCTCAGACGAGAGGACGGGTCTGTCTTTTGTATATGCTGCTGGCCCTTGCCAGTGCAGTCTTTCTCGGGGCCCGAGTCCCTTGGGACTCGAGACCATATTTTACTGTCTCGGATTTGAGACTTCCCTTTTCGTTGCCTCCTAATAATTTGGTATACTCAACCCCCTTAAGTAGGTCTTATGCGGGCTGCTTACAGAACACCGTTCTCAACAGTTCAGTTTTGCCGTTGTCATACAGCGAACCCTCTGTTGTCTTTCATCTCCGGGGAAACACGTTAACGCGTTTGTTGTCCTTTCATCTCCGGGGAAATGCGTTTGTTGCTTAAGATATTCCTAGGCACTGTTACTGCGTTTTCCCGGCACGTGACATTGCTCCCACCTTAAGGCTGTTCATATCGAGCAGCCTAACGGTGTTTGCTTTTCCTTCATTTCCGGGGATTTCTGCTACCAACGTCTGCATTCGGTCTTGCCGTTCTTCGCGCGTCCTTTGTGGTGTTCATTCTACCGCATCCGACCCTTCCTTCAGGGGTGCTCGTCTCGAGAAGCTCCGTGGTATGGCGCCAGCTGCTCCAGTTGTACTACCAGTCACTCCATGTTTTCATCGTCCATTCTCCATTCATGCCGGGAGGCCGGTACTTCTACATTACCGGTTCCTCCTCTATGCATTTTTTTTTTTCGTTTCGGACGGGGTCGACCCCTCCACAAGGTCCAGTCCTTGTTTTATCGTAGGGCGACAGAAGATCTTCTACATATCGGCCTCTTATGCCCTTGCTGCATTCCAGTTTCGGCTGACGTCTCCTCCCGAACGTCTGTCCTCTCTGGATTTCTTGTACCACACTGGGCCTGGTACAAAATTTTCTGGCTAAGTTCCTCTTGCGCCATGCCACTCTGGCACGGCGGGTCGTCCCTCTGCGGGCGACGGCCAGTTTCTTTTGGGATCCACAGTATTCCCATGTCGCCTGCAGGCGAGCGATGGCCAACTTTTTTTTGTACCCGTCCTGATTCGGGGTCCGTTCCTTCACCATTCCTGCAGCTGACTTCCGGTCCCTACGCCGTTTCTTCGGTCCTCCGACCGGCATTATTTCGGCGTATTCTACGGGGGCCTGTCGTTCTACCGCCTCAGGTTTCGTGTCCACTGAGGTCGCCTTCTCCTCTGCCAGCCAGGCCATCATCTTTGGTTGGCCAGCAGTTGTTCTTGGCCGGCTCTCATTTCCTCTTGCATGGCCTTCGTATTTGCGTTCGCATATCGGCTTTCACGGCTCCTTGGCTGGCTCTTATTTCCTTCAGCAGGAGTTCCATCATCTGGTGTATGTCCATTTTTGTTTGTCTTAATCGTGTGTTCTTCTTACACCAGTGTCACGTGTTGCCTATGTAACGCGGCAGATAACGTCACGCAGGTCTCGTATTTGCTGAATATTTATTGGACTCTCGCTTTTACACACTCAACTACAATTATGCATCTGCGGATGTTACTTCTTCGATATCGTAATCCTTGCACCGCAAATATCCGTGTCGTCTTATGCACGCTTTATCTATATTTGTTCTCGGCGATTGATGGAACTCAACTAACTATATCTCGAAGACTGCTAATGCTAATAATATGTCAAAAGTCATAGTCTGGTATATTCAGCCCCCTTAAGTAGGCCTTATGCAGACCGCTTACAGAACACCGTTCTCAACAGTTCGGCTTTGCCGTTGTCATACAATGAACCCTTTGGTCGTCTTTCATCTCCGGGGAAATGCGTTTGTTGCTTAAGGTGTTCCTAGGCAACGGCCCACTGTAAGAGAGATGTGTTTTATTTTCTTGGCTTTGTGGTCCATTTTGTCTGCATTTAACTATGCTGTTAAATCTGATGTGTATAATTTCAACCAACAAGGTATCTGTAATTAATAAATTAATGATTTTTTTCAGGTAGTACATCGCTGAGGATGGCAGAAGATAACTTCCTTCCAGCTAGTCTTGAGAAATTAGAGATTGATTCACAAAGGTAATGAAACAGCCAGAGTGAAGTTTGTTGTACCTGTGTGAAAACTTAAATTTTGGGGATTTTGTTGTTCTGTATTCTGGTAATTGAAACATAAATCTTAAAATTAGGGCTTCTTTACATACAGGTCAGATCTTGTACTTTCTTCTGTTCCTCCCTGCTGCTCTCTCCTGCGCCCCTGCATTCATAAAAAAAAGACATTGCAGTTGTTGCAGGAGTGTCTCTGTTTTGAACCTTGATAAATTTGAGATCTGAGTTTTCTTGGCAGTGAGTGTCAAGATTATGTTCTTCTGGGATATGATTCTGTGCAGCTTGATAGATGGAACATTTGAGAGATACTTGGTGCCTCTGTTTTCACAGTGCTGTTGTATGAGGATCATGTCATCGTGGTAATTGTAAAGGTGCGAATCTGTTGTTCATGTATCCAACAGATTGCAACTTAAGTGCTGCAACAGTGATGTGAATGGATGTCAGACTTTGCATCTCACAGCATTAATGGAAGAACATGCAATGACTGAGGGTGTTTGGGAGCAGGGTACTGAGGAGAATATTTGGACCTAAGCGGGAGAAAGTACCAAGACACTGGAGAAGATTGCAGAATGAGTGATGTCACAACTTGTACATTTTAGGAAATAATTAGTCAAGAACAATGAGATGGGTGTAACATGTAGTGTGCGTGGGAGACACAAGAAGTGTATACAGAATTTTGTTGAGAAATCTGAATGGAAGAGACCACTTGTAAGGCCTAAGTCTGGATAGGAGTTAATATTAATTAATATTATGTCAGAAGTAGATGCAACTATCCGACTTAAAATTGAAAACCTCGTGTGTTATGCTTCAGATAGTCTGAGACAATTATCAAATTGTTTTGTACATGAGAAATGAAATGAATTGCACATGGATGAATATTATTTCACTGAAAATCTTGCAGACTAAATAATTTTCTGCATAGTCACATGAAGCAGTAAATTGTTCATGCTGTACATTACATTTCATCTATTTTAAGAGCATTAATTTGATGAACTGCAAGAATGTGTGATGAATCAACTTCTGACATTTGGCAATAAGGTTTTATTCCCAGCATTAGGGCAGTAATGGACATATTTTAATTCAGTTGTAACAGTTTATCATCAGGGAATATGGAATTTTAATTCTCCTGCTTCTCCCTGTCTGGCAATTGTATTAACTTTGTGGTAATGGTATTAGTGTTGAAAAGATCCAGCATTCTGCCAGCCTGACTGCAGAGCCCCATCCCCAAAAATCACTGTCCAGCCAGTAAAGGTTAGAACACTCAGAATTCTCATTTGATCCTTAGAGGTACTCCATCCATGAGATTCATGCCTTGGGTTCTTTGTTCTACTGTATCAGGAAGACAAGACTAGCTACATTCCAATAACACAAAAAGGAAGAATGGCCTCTACTTAGACAAGTTGTAGAAACCGTAACCTTCAGAAGGAACATAGGACCGCCTCTGGTCTAGTGGTCAGAGTTCCTGGCTACAGATCCAGAGGTTCCGGGTTCGATTTGCAGCGCTACCAAATTTTCTGATAAGTAGTGGGTCTGGAATGGGGTCCACTCAGCCTTGTAAGGTTAATTGAGGAGAAATTTCAAGGAAATTGTGGCTGTGGTCTCGAAAACTGAGATTAACGGGCGTGGGGATCTGTTGCGCCGACCATTTGACACCCTTTATCCACAAGAGGTGGCACTAACTCAGCCGGCAAGCAGCGGTCGCACAGTCAGTATAGGTTGCTTGTGGAGTACAGGCCACAGAAATTGTTTGAAGGAACATAGTAAGTGTCCTTGACAGTTCTCATGATTAGTTTTCAAACATTGTCATTAGGCCTAGTGACAGCATAGCCCTTGTTAAACGTCCCCATGTATTTCTTTATTTAGTTGGGCCTTTTCTTCCTATACATCTGTATTTTTCCACTTTGCTTTACCCTCTACTGCCCTTTCTGTTTTCCTGACTTCCCACTACCTTGTATTGGCCACTCATCCATAATTTCTCTCAGGAATTGTACTCTCCAAAATCACATTTTCTAGAGTTATTCATTGTTTGAAAGACTTTTTTTCGGTATGCACACTCATCTGGGAGGTCCTGAATTGCTATCCCAACACTGGTTGCAGAACCTGATCAGTGTGGTACTGATACCCCTAGCGGTATCAGAGATACTTGCCAGGGTTATAAGTCCTCTGTGTAGCAGTAATGAATAGCAAATTTAATAGTTTCATTATTGTAAACCATTTTATAATGTAAGATTTGAGGCTTTCACGGCGGTGACTATGAAGAAAGCATTCTTCTGGGATTTGGCACCGTGTATATGTGGTGTTAACCGACGTTTCGGAGAAACGTATCGCCCCCATCTTCAGNGAAGTAACCCATAGTGATACTTGTAATGCTTCTAGCAGATGAAAACAGAATGAGTCAATTTTCTGTTTCTGTTGAACATTTTCCGTAGGGTCCAGACATTTGTTCTTTCTCTTTCAGGCCTGAGAAACATTGTATATAGTGTGCATGAAATACAGTGTAAAAAGTTGAAGGCTGTATTAAGTGGCTGATAGATTTAAGTTATATTTCTGGACTTTTTCATATTTGTATGTGCAGGCCTGGCACATTAGGTTAATGAACAGTTATATCAGGTGAGATTTAGCATAATACCAAAAGGTGCATAATACTTCAACACTATAAGAGTGAAAGTCAGAGATGTCACAACAGTTGTGAACAAATGACTACCACATGAATGGTTTGGTATTTCATTGCAGGGACACAGTTTGTGGCAGTAACTTTCTGTATGTGAACCCATTCAGTCGGGATGGTGGTGGTGCCTGCAGAAAGACAAAGAAGTTAAAACCTATTGATGAAACACTTGGAAAACTCAGTTTTTCTGGAGAGGAATGTGCAAATACTTCCTGTCATTGTAACATTCAGCACTCAGTCAGTCCACCTGCACCATGCCATGATCATCCTTATGATGGCTGGTCCGGCCGTAAATCGATACTTCATGTTCATCCTACAGTTACCTTCAAAAGGAACCTTGTACGAAAGAGCAAGTTGAGTGTTGTTTGTGCTTCCATGAGAAAGGAGGATAAGAAAAATAAAATTTTGAAAGAACCAGTGCTGAAACTTGCAAAGGCAATCCAAAATACATTACCACTTAGCAAAACTGATGCTAGAATGTTCCCTATGTCAAAACTATCTGCTGATAAGAAGGTCATGCAAGGAGGTGGCACTGTTCTGTCAAGTGATGTCGCAGGGAGTTCTAAATCCCAGGACTTGTTTGGTCACAGCATTATTTCACACCAGGATTTCAAATCTCTCCTTTTACTGTCACCCAAAGAGCCTTCCACAGACAGAAACCAGACTTTCAGTGCAACTGGTTTCCATCATATGCGTGCAAATTGTAGATCTGAACCAAATACATGTAAGGGAGAACCAAAACCAGAGACCAGAATTTCTTCAGAAAACACATGCATTGGCTGTGTGGTGAAGAAGCTGGCAACAACTGGGCTGACACATAGCAATGGTAACAGCTCAGGTGGCCAGTCATGCTCACAACAAGCCAGGATGACTGCTTCAAGTTCATGTGATGATGTTACAATTGATGAATTGGCCAGTTATTTTGATGTTTTTGTTCATATCCCCAAAAAGATGTCACACATGGCTGAGATGATGTACATTTAGATATGAGGTTAATAACTTCTGATTTCTGAATTAAGTTTAATAGTTGATGAATTTGTCATATGTTAATTTGGTGCTTTGTAAACAAAAATGAAGTACAATTTTGTATTGCAGTTTGTGAACAGTTTTTTTATTATTATGTATAATTTCCTTACAAACAATATAAGTATAGCTGTCTTGAAATCTTCCACTGATTTCAGTCTGTAATTGATGCTGAGGAAGCCACCAGTACAAGACAGATTTTAAAAGCTTGAAAGAACACACAATGCATAACAGTAAAGTAAGGTAATAATGTACAAAATGTCCATTAACACTAAACAGTAGTGTCAGTTACCAGTACATTTACCCTTCCACCCTTCCGTATTTGTAAGGGATATGATGATGATGATGATGATAAATACGGAACTTCATAAATAAGGGTATGATCTAGTAAATGTATGTACCCTTGTGCTGAATTATGTTTGTATATGCCACCTTAAAATTATATTTAAGCTAATCAATGCAGTGCCCAAAGCAGAAATAAATTATGTATGATTTACAGACATATGAAATGTGTGCAGAGAAGTAGAGACACGACAGAGGTTAGAACAGTTATCGACAACTGCTTTACTTTTTTTTTTCCTTAATTTTTCATTAAATAAGACAGTCTTGATCCCTTCCTTTACTTTGAGGCTCAGTCAGATCATTGCATTATATGCTGATAAGTTACACATGTTCATCATGGTGGGAAACTTTTATAAAAAATGTTATAGTTCAGAGCTTGACAGCAAGAAGGAAATTCATGATATGGAGGGATGATTATAGTTTGCCTCCATGCAAGCTGCTTGTTTTATAAGTCAAAGTCATGCAGTACACAATGTTGTAGATTGACAGGTGGGTAAACATGCCATTGTTTTGAAGACGCTACTACCTCTGTCTAGGGTTGAAGTGATTTCAACTCTGAAGGTGGAGGCTGTGTTAGAACCTACCTATTGGAGTATGACCAGAACTCAATATATATGTTTGTTGAGGCACTGGGGCCATTGACACCACAACGGTAAATATCATTATGGCAAAATGTATTAAAATCAGTAATGTCAGTGCTTTAGTCAGTTTTGTTGTGTCAGCCACTACATGTTTTGGTCACGTGCTATCATCAGGTTGTTTGTAAGTAAACAAAATACATTAGGATTGAATTGCACAGTTAAATGGCTCAATTTTTACAATGAAAAATATTGTAATAAATTCTTTTGTTAGGTGGTAAAATATTGTGGCATGTTGTATCAACAACAAATGCTTACTATGACACATTCACAATATACAAGATACTTTACCAACATAGTATAATACACTTTATCCCCACAGAGCCTATTATATGTACACTACTTAAATGAACTTCCAGAACAGTACAGATCAGATATATCAAATATTAAACTATGAATAAATACCACAATACCCATCACTGTTATACACCCTTAGTATGCCACACTTAGCAAGTCTTGCATTGTACTTCATGTACCCAATTGAGGCATGGACAGTTGTTGCTATGGGGTGACTCTGAGATGGGCTTGGTAAACATGTTCTCATTGCTAGGCAGCTGCAACAGTTGGGACTACAACAATGGTAACTGCGTTTTGTATGTAATCTGTGCCGAAGAGTTATCCTGAAGACAATTGGGGCGACCCAGTTGGGAGTTGAAAGTCAGCCTGTGAAGTGAAGAGTAGGAGGTTGGCGTGAAATGGCCATCAGCTTGGGAGTTAGTCAGTTGAGAGTTGAGGGTTGGCAGTCCAGTTGAGCTCTTCAAGGGAGGCTGAGAAGAGATGGCATTGTAGTTCAGTTGACAGTAGAGTTCTGCACAGGCGGCTGTGACAAGGACCTGAGAGGGGAAAGTTGAAGAATCTCCATTGTTAGAAGCTGTTGCGAGGGAATGGCTGAAGACAGGAGGCTGGAAAAGGCTTAAAGGGTGGAGATTAGTGATAGCACTGTAGCTACATGTAGTTGCTTGTGATATGTATAAGTTGTCAGTAAATCCAATTTACCAGTTGATACCATATCTGTAGTCACACCACTAAATATGTGACACACTTTTAACCTTTTTTAACAGTTTTTAGGGGCATGCAGTATTGTAGTTTGTCGTGGCACTATGCTACGAGGCGGAAGGTTGTGGGATCGAATCCTGGTGAGGTGGATTTTTTAATTTACCTAATCCTTCTAGCTGCACTATGACCCTGGGATCAACTCAGCCTCTAAGAGAAATGAGTACCATGAATATTCTTGGGGGTAAGGGTGGTCGGCACGTAAGGCTGAAAGCCTTACCGCCATCTATGAGCTGATTGTATAGGGAACCTCTAACATCTCTCAACCCTATGGGCCTCCACAGCCTGTTACAGGGATACCTTTACTTTAATTAAAGAAAAGCATTTATTATAACGTTTTTCATTGTAAAAATGGAGCCATTTAACTGCAATTCAGTAATAATGTATTTTATTTACTCATATGAACCATGTGACTGGAACACGTAGTGGTTGAATCAGATGATAAAATTCATTAAACCATTGAAATTTTTATTGGTTTTAAAATGTTCTATTAAGATGTAATTTATTTCATTGTTGTATCAATGGCCTTTGTATCTCAAATTTATAACACGACAGGATGAAGAAAATAAAAATGTATGTATGTGTTAGTTTCTAATTTCAAAGTACTGTTTTTTGTTTCCAGTATACAAGTCACAAAACTGAAATTAATGTATTTTAGTGTTTTGTTACTCCTTTGATTCCACTCCCTTGCATTTTCATTGAAAAATATGCAGTTGAATTAACTTTGATGACATTCATTTTTACAGTTTGTGAATCATAATTTTTTGTTGTTGGTAAATAATTTTTATCACTTAGATTTTGCTATGAGTATTCACGGGAACTTTGCATAAGTTAAAGTTGTGTTCGGGTGGTTCCTGCATTCGTTATTTATACTTCTTGTGCATTTATTACATGATGTGCACAGAACAAATAAATATAGGGCTGGTCATGTCTGTTTCAACTTACAGATGGCTAGCTGAATTGTCATGAAATCTGATGAATCATTCTGTGAAAAATTGTCAGTCAAATTAAGTTTTTATTCAAAATGGATAGCTTAATGGTCTCTTAGCATGAAAACTAGATGTATTTCTACACTTATCTCACCAAATATTCGTCAGAAAAATGAAACAGTTGATATCCCATATGTTTTCAGACTTCATATTCAACCATGGCCTCAAAAACATGGTTAAAAGGAAAAGAAAAGGTCTGTATTACAATATGAATTCGAATCATATATATAAAACAGTTTATGTATGTGATTGTCTGTACAGAGTGCAATGACTGCACATAGAAACTATGTACTCCAGTAGAATTTTATACCTTCCTATTATTTATTTTATCTGACAAGCATAAACAGTGAAATAAGGGTGAGTCACTGGTGAAATGGACAGGTCATTTGTAGAACACTTAGAGATACTGGGTTTTTGGGCTTTGTCCATTGTCCGGATTCGAAATAACTAAAATAAAAACGTTTCGGAAACTGGATCTGTTTCCATCCTCAGGTGGGGGAAGACATACTCTGTTGGGTCCCTTAGAAAGAGCTAGCCTCAATCACCGGACCAGTGATTGAGGTCTAGGGGTAAGACATCAGCTTAGTGTTGAGAAGGTCCCTGGTTCAAAACCAGTATGATTTTTGTGGAAAAAAAATGAAAAGAAATTAGTGAAGAAAAGCAACAGCAGAGCAAGAAGTGAAGAGGTAGGCAGTAAGGGGGGAGGGAAGATTTTTGCGGCCGCTCATTAAAATACTCGCCTAAGCGGGTATTAATCAGTAATCTGTCAGACGACAGGTCCACAGTCTCTTCCAAAACAGTTCCTCCACTTAATGCGATCTCAAGCTTTCTCCTCCCAATAAAAATATCCTCTTCTGTTCCCAAAGTCATCCAACATCTTCTTACGTCTTATTCCTCGTCTTCTTGTCACTTCTATCCGCCCCTCCGGTTTGTTTTGTCTCCAGAGAAAACATCTCGCATACATGGTATCTCTGTTTTTGGAAAGAAACTATCCAAGAAAAGTAATAATGTGGTAAGTTTTTCCATTTGCTTTCTCCGTCGCAGTAAAACAGCCGTTCAAACCACTCTGGTCACGCCTGTTGCTATATGAACTTGAACCATCTCGAGCATCATTTGCTCTGTGCTTCAAGTCGCTGCTGATGACGCTGCTTCCGGCATCAGTTATTAAAATCCACAAGGGATTATGGATGCGTTTGTGCCACAACCCTACGCACCATTGGGGATCACGCAGAAAGTTAATCACTTGAGACCAAGCTAATTCAGCGAGAGTTAACAAGAAAATATAAAATAACTAGCGCCATCTGTGGACTAAAACCTCATGGACAGCCACGAAGTGAAGTAAAAAATGTAGTAAACCTGAAGAATTCATTTTGTAGGGTAGGACAGGAGGTACTGGGGATGAATACTATAGAAACGTGTGATCCCACACTCACGCGCCCTTTGGGTCACGCAGAAAGCTAATGACTTGAGACCAAGCTAATTCCGCGAGAGTTAACAAGAAAATATGAAATAAAATTACCGTCATCTGTGGAGTAATGTTGAACAGATGGCGCTACAGTTATATTTCATATTTTCATAACTCTCGCTGAATTACCTTGGTCTCAAGTCATTAGCTTTCTGCGTGATCCCAGGGGCGGGTTAGGTGGGGTCCCACGCTTCCATAATCTTCGTCCCCAGTACCTTCTGCCCTACCCTATAAAATGAATTCTTCAGAGGAGCGGTTTGCACAGCCCTATAAGATACTAAGATGTTACATTTTAACTATACTTCGTGGCTTTCCATGAGGTTTAAGTCCACAGATGGCGCTACAGTTACTTTATATTTTCTTGTTAACTCTCGCTGAATTAGCTTGGTCTCAAGTGAATAACTTCAAGTCACCCCCTAAGGGCGGAGGTGGGGCAAACAAGCCCGCAACAAATACACAACCAACTATAGAACCAAGTGTGTTTTCTGTGCTATGGTCCGACCCGAGGTTATATAATGAGAAGACAGTAGTAACTGAGCGCCCGTCCTCTCGTCAGAGAGAGCGCCCCACAATAACAAGACCTAAACTGTCAA